TACAAAATAAAAACACAAATTAAAGACTATAAAGTAACACATAAAAGCACAATCTTGGAAAGTCTCTCAGCCCCCATCTCAGAGAGGAAAAAAGCCCTTAAGTGCCAAATGAGCACAAATCGTAAGGTGTGCATGTAACTGGACCACTCTGACACTCTGTGACTGCCTGTATCTTGGGACAAATTTTGGGGCTTCACTGAACACCCCTTACACATGCCCAGTCCTTACCCATATAAATAACACCCTTGGCTTTCTTGCTAACATAGGCACAATTGGAAGATAACTGGATCAGGACCAAAGCACCTGCATTCAGCACCTCCCTTACACCCCTCCTCCCCACCTGCCAAAGTACTGGAAATCCAGATAAAATGAAAGTGTTGGTGTTACCATGCAACCCTACAGTCATCAGCTGAGGTCAAGGTTCTCTGGAAACAGGGATGTAAATGACAGTCCTACGGGGGAGCAGCTGCATCTGGGGAGAAGTTCAGAACATCAGTTAATGGCAGGAGATGACTTCCCTTTTAACTGATGGAATGCCTTCAAAGCATAACAATGTACTTCCCCTTCCACTTCCATCTCCAAATCATGGTCATGAGCTTCTCCTTGCTTTGAGGAAGCTCACAAAGCTTTGTGCTTTCTCTTAGTTCTTGCTAGCTCTAAAAGAGTGAAATCAAAGTTAATTTGACCATACACACACACAAGCACAAATACTGTCTCCCTTTCCCCCAAAATATTCAGCTCCCCAAGAAAAAGAATCACACTAAGGTGAAAACTTATCCGTTTTTATTTTTTAAAGAAAAATATTCCTCTTTAAACACAAAGCATAAACTAAAAACCTCTGAGGAACAGCTTCTCCTCCCTTGGAGCGCATTTAACTAAACTGTACAGTGTTAGAACTCCCCAAACAAGTATACACACATGACATACAGTATTTCTTTCACAGGAAATAAGGTTTAGGACTCAAAATTGTCCTGCTCACCCTCTCTAGATACCCTCTCCACCCAAAAGTACTCTGTCCCTTACTCCCACCACAGGACACAGTGATGATAATTTCTGGATGCAACGTGTATTTAAAAACAAACAAACAGACAAAAGTGTTGGCCAAATTGGCCCTTTCTAGCCTTTTAACAAATGTCCATGAGAGAGGTTAAGACCATTGTTATTTCCAGGAATGGTGCTTGGAAGAAAAAATATAGCAGCATCCACAGGCAACGCAAGCCCTTGATTCCAGCTGCCCCATTTGAAGGAACCCAGTCAATTCATCAGTTTTACAGATGTTCCCATCACCCACGAAGAGGGAACGGGAATAAAACATTCATGGGCCAAATTTGCTGCTTGAGCAGACAGCCTAAAATTCAGTGAGTCTGGCCTACATATGCCAGTATTTAGGTTTTTTTCCCCACATTGCCACAGCGACCAATTTCATATCTAAGATTTAATGTAAAAATGGTGACCTTCAGAAATCAGCAACTCATTCTACCAATTCTTTCCATCCCATCAAGTAGATATGTGCATAATATTTGTCACATCTGCCAAACTACCCAGACTGCGGAACTGGAACCAGACTCTAGAATCCAAATTCTTCCTAATTTGGAACAGCAAAACCATCGAAATTCTCTTGCAAGGTCTCAGAACATGCCTAACAAGCCCATATCCAAAGAAGTAGTACCTGGGCATTTTCCAGGGAAGGTAGGTAATGGAAAAGGTCTGGAAATGGAGCTCATTTTTATCCCACCGGATCATTAATTGTTGGTATTAAGTAATGCTCAAATCTTTATCAGACCATTTTGTAAAGATCTTTTTCCATTCCATACATTCCAACAGGTTTTACAGTAGGAAAAATACTAGAAAAATAAAATCTCGCCCCTGAACAACACTGTATGAAGATCAGTATCATCAGTCACAAAGATTTTTACAGGGGAACCAGATAATCTTTTGTCTCCTCCAAACCAGCTTCATACAGAAAACAGCAGCAAGATAGATATGGTATCTAAGAGCTAGATTAAGGCCAACAATATAAAGACAAATGTGGGCTCAGATATTTTGAAATGAAGAAACCCTCCAAATGTTTTTATACATAATGCATGCACGCGCGCACACACACACGTATACTCGTGTGTACTATTCAAGCGAAGGCTTCACAACCGTGAAAGCACCACTGGAGAGTGTTCTAGCACCAGAATGAAAAAGTTGGTTGTCTTCCCTCTTCAGCACTAAAATCCAAAGTCTTTATATTGCTTTGGACAAGGTCACCAAATACCCTTCCAAGAACAGTTTCAGTGAGCAGATTCAGAAGTGCAGTGACAGGTTAAAGTGTTCCTGTTCTGGAATATGGGCAAGAAGAGGTGTGTTGAGAGGCTGCAGCTCCTGGGTTGCCGGAAAGGAGGAGAAAATTTGTATTGCAATCTGGTAGAGACAAGAGACCAACTTGGACTCCAGGTGAGTGCGATGGTAAAACTCAGTGCTGACTGGGAGGTGAAAGTGGAAAGTTTGCATACAGGAAGTCACAGTGCACATCTGTTGGCATAATAAAGACAAGCAAAGCCACAGTATTCTCTGGCAGGCTTGTCTCTGCATAGGAGGCCCCTGGGTATGCTGGAAGTCGGACAAGGATCCATGAACGGGATGTCACACACTGCACCAGGACATCATCAAACTCAAACAGCAGAGGTCTAAATAGAAGCTTGTAAGTTGGTCTGCTAGCATCTTGCCTATACACATGCTCAAGCGAGCCTGCAGAAGTCTATAAAAGGGACAAAAATCTCTGAACAGCAAGATCATGGGTCAGGTTCAGCTACAAGTAGCAATTCATGCAAGTTACAAAAGAAGTAATCATCAACCTGCAGCACATCTTTCCGCTGCAGGTCTCCATCTTGGATCTAGGCTTTCGTACAGGAGGTGCTGGCGGTGCAGCCCTTTACCACACTCTGAAGAGGCTGAGTGGAAGGTGCAGAGCCAGGAATGACATCACCACAGCCTCTCAGATCAGCACATGTGGGCAGAGGTCTGTCCTCTGCCTGCAAGATGCAGAGTAAGCAACGAGCAGGCCTCGCTAACAGGGGAGGATGGGGAGCAGCAGCTGGAAGTAGGCTGCTAAAACAATGCAGGAAGAAATGGAAGAGACAGAGAGAGGCTTAATTTTTCAGTGCCTGAATCGCCAGCAGTAAAGCCCCATTTAATCTGTTGTATAGCATGCTGGTTAGAGTCTGGCTATCACTCACATGATGTACTAAGTGAGGCTGTGGTAGGAACTCAATTAAAACATGCAAGAAAAAAAAATGAAGTGAAAGGAAAGGTGATTATCACTCTGAGGTGTGAATTTCAGACTCAGAGAAGAGAATTACCAGCAGAGATACACTTTGTTTCTGTGCACATGCAAGAGTACAATAGAGGGAACAGCAGCAGAACTGAAAGGGAGGAAAAGACACCGTAAGCACAGTGCTGTAATTCAAGATGCAAACACAGAACAATGGGGTGAGAGAGAGGAAAGAGAAAAGAAGTTTGAGGTAAAGGAGCCCAAAGGAAAAGACTATAGAAAAACTCTCTATTAATAGAGTCAGTCCTGCTTCAGGAAATACATAGCTAATGTCAGTTGGCTCTCTCTTCACCAGGTATCCTTGACACGTTGGTAAATCTTCCCTCTGGACTTGGGATTTAAGGATCAAAACATAAAGGTCAAGATTTTTTTTTCCCCTAAGATGTACTAAATGATTTTGGGTATTCAGCACAACACTCTAAATGGCCCCTGAATTCTAAGCAATGCTGAAGACTGGCCCAAAAGCAGAAGTGCCCAAATTCTAAACTGCTTTTGAAAATCTAGGGCTACTTCCTTTGGGTTAGAAAAGAAGAATCTATTCAGAAGGCTGAAATGTCCAGAAGCAGGTTTGGCCTTTCTCACTGAGAGCACCTTGGCATTTAACTAAGCAAGCAATATCTTAAATGGTTACTTAGCAAATCGCAATATCAGATTGAGGCATCAGGTTTCTGGATAAGTGTATAGAATCAAACAGCTCCTCACGTATCTTCTAATAGAACCGATTTGTGTGATTTACAGCAAGAACAAGCTATGCCACTCGCTGCTTCAGTGAAAACACCAGCAGAGTTGTGAGCTGAAGCCCTTTGACTGTGGTGCAAATCACACATAGGGATCCTTTCTTATTAGACTTAATTGCAACAGAATTAACGCCTCCTGGGTAGAGCAAAGCGCAGGCTTCCTCTTTCTAATGCAAACCACAAAGGGAGGGATGTTTGTCTGGGGTTTGTGCATACCTACAGCAACAGTGCTGGTCAGAGGTATGTACAGACAGCAGTTTCTGAGAACCAGCATGACCAGAATGGCCACAGGTGACAGTGGCATAGGCCTCAGGGCACAGCCCAGGTGGAAGCACATGGACATGTAAGATGCAAGAATACGACAGAGCAGCCAAGGTCACCCATGTGCTTAGGCAAGCTTAAGGCAACTAAAGAAAATTCACTGATAATTTAGAGGAGAGTGCCAAAGGGAAGAGAGAAGAGGAATCACTGGGAATGCTGTTACAGTAGCCAAAGCCCAGCACCAGCTACTAAGCCATCCCTCTTCTCCAGCTCATTTGTCCTAATTCTCCTCATTTTACCAGCACCATTACCATGAGGTTAGTATGTCAGAAGGAAGAGTTGGGGATAGGTTCCTAAAAACATAGCTTACACATTTTCAGGCTTGTGTCTCAGGTCAGTTCCTTTGAAAGAAAGCGCATGGGCCATTTGACTGGCCTCTTGCTTTGAACTGGAGCTTTCTGGGAATTCTGCCTGCCACCTCCAGAGACAATCCTGTGATATGTTCTACCTGGAAGTGATGGCAGCAGCTACCTGGGTTCCTTGTCATGACAGTTGAGCATACAGTAGTTTTTTTTAAAAAACAGCATGCACCAGTGGCACGGCCATTAGACATGAAGCCGTGGTTGAATTCTTCTTGTCTCCTCAGAAGCAGGTGGAACCAAAAAGAAAGGGAGTGTTGGCACAAATCAACGCAGGCTCCGGTAGACATAGGCTGATGTGAAGATAGCATTGAGAGTCAGACTCACGGCTAGCAGACCTCGGAGAGCGGAGTTACCAAAATGACCTTAGTAGAAGAGGACAACACAAAGAAAAAAGGGAATAGTAGAAAGAGATATTAAAGAATTGATGAGATAAAGAACAGTGAACATACGTTGTGCTCTTTCTCTCTCTTTGCCCAGTATTTTCACCATAGGCAGAAATTGCTGAAGCACTTTTCCTGTCAGGAAAGATTCCACTGCTCTCTTTGGTTCTATTTTCATCTCATTGCTCTTCCCAACACCTGCACCCCCGTCCCTTTCCTTCTGTCTCAGTTTAGCACCCGGTCAGTATTTTTGAAAAAGTCCAAAGAACAGAAATAACCTTATTAAGGTCTTAGAACAGCAGGCAGAAGATCCATTTTGCTACTAATTTATTTGATCTCAAGATCAGATCACTACTACAGCACAGGAAAGATCTCAGTGACCCTCACAGAAATGCTCACACAAACATGAAGCACTCGCGTAACTTGCACCTACCTCTCCAGCCTGCCAAATCTTCCCCTTTGGTAGTTGTGTCTACCACACAGGTAGATGAGTGTGATGAGTGATCCTCCTTTTTGATGGAATTATCGCTGCAAATACTCCCGCCTTCCACAGCAGATCTCATATCTGCAAGGAGAAAAAGATACAAAAATTCAGAAGGCACCAGTGGAAGGCAAAAGTAGCAGAAGTTACCAGACTAAAGCTAGACTTAAGTAATGAATGGTTGCTTGGTAAAATCATGAAAGGATTGAGGACAGGAACTGGAAACAAAAGGCAAATTTCACTGCTGTGCAGCAGAAGTTGCCTGCATGTTTGTCTCATACACTTTCCATATCAGCGTTACCATATCTGTAGTTAAAGGAGTTATCCAAACAAGGGGAAGGCAGTGGCAGTTGTATCCCTGGGGCACCACTAAGTGAGAAAAGGACATCTGTTTTGGCAGACAAGAGGCCCTCCAGGCCAGTGGATTCTTAAGGGAGCTTTGATAGCCTAACACTCATCACCACCTGGGTTTTTCCTGAAGGCTTCCCATCTGTTGTGTGGCCTGGCTGATGCACGGCTTTGCTTGCAAGCCAACTCCTTCCTACAAATGCATTTCCAGGAGTGCAGCAGGTTGTGCCAGCATACCATGCATTCCTCGCTCCCTGAGGTTCTTCTTTGGAAAGGAGGACAACTCAGTGGTGAAGATGTTGCTGTCTGAGTGGGTGTGCTCCTCTGAGCTAGTTGGGGTGAGCAGACCCTCATTCTGAGATGGAAAAAGCAGCAGCTTCTGTCCTTTCAGGTTCAGGCGGGCAGGGCTGATAAGTGGCCGGCGGTACCGCAAGGAACCAGAGCTGGAGGTCACAGAGCCAGCCACCGATGGTGCTGGAGAGGGGATGCGGGAGGGCGCACAGCTGCCTGACAGCAGGGAGAAGTGCTCTGAAATGGAAGCATCCCCAAAGAGAAAATAATGAGATCCAAATACTGTAGGCACAGTTTTCTTTAACAATTCTACAAGAAAAGGGAACGGGAGTTGCAAATGTCCAACATATCTTGTACTGAAATTCTTTATTCATTCAAGTTCCCACAGTGCAAAACATGAAGAAATTCCATGTGCACTTTGGTACACTCAAGACTGACTTAGACTAGAGATAGGTCTATCAAGAGCCGGGTGAGCTTTCTGCTCAGCTGAGTCCATTCAGGAGAGCCTGCATTACACATGCTATTTTTGCAGGTAAATTAACCATCCTGGCACGCCCTTTAAAGGCTGTTGGGGATGGTTATCAGAAAGTGAGGAGGTCTGCACACTGGCATTAACCCAGGCTGTGACTGCATTTCCAGCAGCAAACACGTAAGCAGCACAAAGAGCCAAAGGATTCATTTGGGGTCAGGAGGGCCACAGACAGGTCGCTGGAGGACACGGGAGCAAAAGGGCAGAGCAAACAGGGTAGCCAAATTAGCAGTTTCTTGGGTTGGGAGAGGGAAATGAAACAAAAGAGCTGCCCTAGGAACAGTTTAAAGTCTCCTATCAAAGCAATCTCAACTCAGCTGTAGAGCAGGGAAGGGATCCTTGCTTTGTCTCACTGATTTCACTGTGAGCTCTCCCAGGGAGAAGGACATCCCACATGTACAGCACCTTATATTACTGCAATCCCACTCCTAGCTGGAACGGTCTCTGCAGCATTTCTAACAGCAAAACTGACATTTTTCACTGCGACGTGAGCAGGGAGGAAAGAATTAAACTTGGATCATATGTTTCAACCCACTCACTGCAAATCCTGCAAAGACAGTTGCTCTGGAAGGCCTAGTGCATTACCTGATGTGGGAGATTCCTTGGACTGAGAAGACTGCGAGGCTGGTCGACTTCCGCTGAACAAGTAGCCAGAATCTAAAAAGCAAAAATGAAACAGTTTGAACACAGCTGGCTCAGCTACTAGAGGTCAATCCTTCAGAAATGTAACTGCATCACCTTGTCATCAATCTCAAGGGGACGGGTGGTAAATGCAGGAAGGAAAAATGTCCCTGTTTTCCTGGGTTAGGCTATGTGCCAGCATCAGAATAATCCACTTTTCCCAGCTGCAGCAGAATCGATCTGTCCAGCAGGCTCCAAAACCAAAATAAGACATCCTCCCTCAAAACATGAAATGAAGAGAGTCTAAATTTCTTTAGTGGGCCCCTTCCTTCCCTAGCCTACACTGGTTCCAGAAGGCTCTGCAGGTTCACAACACCACTGCTGCTCTGATCTGCTGTTAAGCCTCAGGAGCTCAGGATATCTGACACAGCTCACCAGGACCTTTGTCCTGCTCTGAGCTGCAGTTTGGCTTCAAGGGACAGTGATAGCTGACGTTTCAGGAAAGGCTTAAGGAGAAGCTATGAAAGAGCAGAAGGAAGAAAAGAGCTAAGCTTGCAGGGAGATTTACAGGTCAAATGACACTTGGAAAGGATTCTGCCCCATAGTGCAGACACAGTCCTGTTCACTGGGCACCACTCTGGGAGTCTTCATCTTCAAGACCATACTTCTCAAGAAAACCTTTCCTCTGATTTCAAATAATAGCAGACTATCTCTAGCTTTTAAAACAAGTGTACACAAAACTGCCCTGCTGGTTCATTACTGTGTGCAACTGCTCCTCTCCAGTACCAGGTTAAAAGACAAAAGTTTACAAGCAGTAGATCTGCAAATTGTCTGACTGCCAGAGGAAACCAAGACCTGGAGGCCACAGCCAGGCTATGGTATATCTAGCTGCTGCCTTCTGCCTCTGTGCCAGTGGACTCTGTCACTGCAGAACTGGTTTATAATTATCTATCTAATGTTGCATAGAAGCAGATGATGAGTGTGCACACAATTTAGTTGCTGTGAAGGTAGCAACAGAAGGATGGGGCAACTTCTGAAGGTGGTAACTTCTTCACCTGCTCCTAGCAAAGCTGCTAGACAACTTCTGAATACAACATCAGGTTCAGATTATCTACCCTGTCACTCTATCACAGCCTGGCTTGCTTCTACTTTAAAAGAAAGAAGGTGATGATACAGTTGTATCCTTTTCTCACAAAAAGAGCCTTACAGATAGATCATAGGGTGAGATGAATTCCAATTTAGCTGTAATAATGAGGCAGGAAAAAAAAAAAACAATTAAAAGTCCTGAAGTCAGGAAAAAGAAGTGCTACAGATGAAACGTCAGAGTTTAGGTACTTGATTTACATAATTATAGGCAAACAGCTTTGGAAGTTGAAAACTTGCTGTTTGCGAAAAATATTCAGCCCTGACAGCATGCCCTCTCCAGCCTGCCTGGCTTTACACCTTAGCAAAAGAAAGCACAGATCTCGCAAGGGTGGTTTAGCACGCGAGAGAATCCCAGCCACCTGGTGCCCTTCCCGTGGCAGTGAGGTAACTAGGAAGGTGAAGGCCTTGCCAAAAGCTGCCATGCTGCTGAAAGGTTTGCATGGCTGGTCTTGCTCTTGCATTTTGTGGCAAAATTGATGGCAGCGTGAGCCACAGAAACGTCAAATGAACTAAAAAATCCCAGCAAGACTGCTCTCTTTGCTGCAGTGTTATCCTAAAAACTGCCACGTTTTGGCCTCTGACCTTCTGGTAATCAGTTAGTGACATGGGAAAGCTTAGCTTTCCTTGGATGGAGAATAGCATTTGAATGCTATTTCCCATCTGTTAGTTTCAAGCACAGCAAAACTGAGGGTTCATTGAGTTACTGGGAGAGAGTCTTTCCTTAGGCCTATAAATCTTTCCTAGATCACACAGGGCCCTTAAAAACAAAAGGAAATGGGGTCTCTAAAGCAGCTTCAATAGTTGTGCTAATGCGTATCAAATCCAGACTGAGGGAAGAACCTGCCTGCAGCTCCGCTCCCTTCAGCTGTAGCAACAAAAGCAAACTACACAAAGCAGCTAGAAGGAATGGAGCGATCGCTCTTGCCAGATCGGTTATCCTAATGCTCCCAATCACTTCCAAAAGCTGCTCTTCTCCATTACCATGTCTAACTGCTCCTTCTGTCTCTCTCCCACACATGGCCTTGTAGCTTGTGCCATACTGCCATGAACTCCTGAAGAAGCCTCTGGATTTCGGTAAAGCCACAGCAGGCAAGCACTCAGTGAGACTTTTTGTTTCACCAAGATGGCAATGCTATGCTGCATAATTTCTTAATGCTAAAAATCAAATTACCAATGGTGGATACTCCCCTGTGCCACAGGAGCAACAACACCTGAACAGGACTATAACATGTGGATACCTCACAGCCCATTTCCTTCTGAAGCATCGTACCATGCCATTGTCACTTCCATTGGGCCAGAAAGTTTCATGCACACTTACCTGCTCTGGCCAAGGAGGGGATGGTACCCAGCGAGAGCGCCCTGTTGAGACGACCAGGAAGAGAGGAAGAAGTTGTTCTGCGTGGGGATCTGAAGAGCTGTTGGTTCGTCAGCTGGAGAATACTGGGTGGTGTTGGGACAAAGAGAGACGTAGGAGAGGAAGGGAAGCCAGTGCCAGTGCCGCTGGGAAAGAGAGTAATCGAATCCCCAGAAAGGTACCTGCAAATGACACACGTGACAGACATTGAGCAATGAGTACATTCCAGTATCTCCCTCTCTCAGTTGTACTTCTTGCGTGAATGCTTACTTTGTTATCAGGTTTATACTAATTTTTCAGTGCAGGAATAAGAGTTTATTGGAATGTTCCTTACTCCTTTGAAACTGGGGAAGGAAGAACTGCTCAACCTTACTTAAATTATTGTGCACCAACCTGTCCCAAAATACAGGGTGGAAAAGATGGTGGAAAGTTTAGGAACTCAGGTGCACGTAGGCATAGTACCTTGGCTCTCACTCTGGATGAGAAAATTACCCAGAGACCACCAGAATGCTTTACAAAGTCCAGATAAACATGGCACCAAGGATAGAGTACATCTTATCTTTGTTATGTGCACATGCAAACAACATGCTTAGAAATATGACTGTGGGAAGTAAGCAGTTACCTACTAGTTGTTTTGTCTTTACAAACCAGAATCAACATCTTACCTCCGATGCCAGTATAGAGAAAATTATTTGTATGGGTACCTAGATAAAGATTTAGGCACATGAGCTCCGTTTTAAAACTAACATTCAAACCTCTCTCATACATTTGCCTTTACTATACTTATGTGAGATAACGAAGATTCAGTACCCTCATTTTACAGATGGGAAAGAGAAGCAAAAAGAAGTGAAGGGACTTGTCGAGTCACATAAAAATCCTGTGATAGGAAAGAGACCTAAACCTGCATTTTCCAATCCTAAATTCAGGTCTAAACCATTATGTTTTCCTTTCTCTGCATATCATAATGAGTCACAAATATGTACTAGCATAGCCATTCAGAGGGAACTGTGCTCCTGTAGCATATACTCCAGGAAGCGTCTTGCTTCTAGTGCATAAAAAACAATCTCTGTTACAGTGCCTGGAAAAAAATTAAATTGGCAATAATAATAGCAATTGTATTCCTAGGTCTGTAAGATGTTTTCTTTCAATGGGTTCTTTCCAAGTGAGCAAGGGGAGCTGCAGAACAGCGTGTCCAACTTGAGAACACAAGACAAGAGATAATGGATAAAACATACTCAGGGTAGCTGTACAAGCTAGCTTGATTTTTAAGTACTACAGACAAACTGACTTCTATTCCACTGGTAAAATAACTGTATGAGAAGCCTTTGTAGTTTAGTTTTTGCAGCTAGCACTGCCACAGTATTTCACACTCAATTACTATATGCAAATAAACTATGCAATTAATTTCTGATACCCCATTTCATCACCTACTTCTGCAGTGGTTTAAAATTTAAAAATCAACCTAAGCTGAACAATCTGTGAAAAGCTTACTCCTATTTTTTTCTTCTTTCTATTCCTCCTCACAATCACATACCAATCTTAATCTCTGTGTACAACTTAGTTCACTACATTGCATCAGAAATGTGGAATCAGCTTTGAAGTCTCACTTGTGTCCTCATACCATCAAAGTGAGCATTCAAAGAAGGTCGCAATGTTGAAAATATAGGAATTTTGTATTATTTTTAACAGTTGAATAAAATACATGAAAGAAAGTCTAGAATATGAACAAGATCTCTCAAGGATCTCTTGTAAGATTTTTGTTTAGTTAGAAATCGGTAATACACTTGTCAAATGAGTCGTGATAAAGTTACTAACAAAGTATGAAGTGTATATATTTTAAAGTGGAGATATCAGACTTTGCAGCATACAATCAAGCTGTGACATCTGGAAGTTTAATCTCACTTCTGATGAAAACAGAGACAGACGAGAGCAGCAACATGGCTTTTCTTCTGTCAGAGGAAAGCCAGTAGTAAATCAGAGCGTGAAGGCATATACGTATCTCAGTCTTGCGCTGTGAGGTGATTTATGCATGTACCCTTCTCTCTGGGAGATTAAAGAGGTGATGCAGCAATATTATGCAGTGCTAGCATGTCCAGAAGAAGCAGTCTAAAGATTACAATTTAAAATATCTTATAAAACTACTTATCTGCTAGTACGAGGCAGACATCAACAATCCCGACCAGCTTAATCAGGCTGAACAACATCTGAGCCAAACAGCTTCCTGGTGCTTGCAAGCAGGACATGCCTTTAACAGCGGCAAGGAACTCGTCAGTCTTGCAGCAGAAACTGCCCAACCTCTTCAGGTTACAGAGGACCTGGAAGGGTGTCATGCTTCGCAAACCTGCAGAGTCCTTTAGTGCACACACATATACACATTTGCCCCGCCACACATACAGATGTAAATAGCAGATGTACATGTCCATCTCAGCTTTGTAAGAGAAAACGAATGGGAAATGAAATTAGAAGTGCAGCTCAGGACTATGATATGAATCATACCAGAAAGAGCGATACCTACCACTCACTGTGTCATGTCTGTGAAGGGCCAAATCTGAGCATTGCCTGTGAACAACACAGCTCTTTTTTCCTAACTTTGCACCTTTTGTATCTTTGGGCTAAAGAATCCAGCTTTACACAACTCCTTGCTGCAGTGGAAAACAGCCTATCTGGCTTACTGGCTTTTGGCAGTTTTTCACTTAACAGGCTGGAAGATAATACAATCATTTATCACTCATAACCACAATCTCTTTCCTGGGATTGTTAACTTTTTTGGATCAGACTTCCATGGGCTCTGCTGCTGCCCAACAGACCCACTTCTCAAGCCCACCAAGTTAGTGCAGTCAGATCCTCTGGACAGCTGATGAAGCGTTTGTCTTGCACCATCCAGAAAAGGGAATTTTTCTGGTTAGCAAAGAAGAGCTGAAGAATTTTAAGCATAACATATTAATGCCTTTGGACTGAGTGCTGACCAAAGAATGGCTTAAATATTGATCTGCTCAACAAAGCAAATTCCTGCAACACGCAAAAATCCTGTTTCTTTGTGCTCTTCTCTTTAGTGTTTGCCACTGTCATGTCAAGAGGGCTAGATGCTGCTAAAATGATGGTGCTGTCATGGGAATGCACTTTATGTCTGAGAATGGTCAGCTGAACTAAAACTTCTTTCAGAAGCAGATGAAAAAAGGTGAGGAGATCAAGAGGATCACAAGGCAGGAAGCAGCCACATCACAGCCCCGGAATGGAGCAGTCCAGCTGTGTCTCAGATTACCACATTGCTCCAAGCCATTTGTGCACATGATAGTGGGTCTGTTAACAGTGAAAAAGTAACCAAAAAAGGAAGAAGGGAAAAAAAAAAAAACAAAAAAGGCTCTGGAGTCAGACAGTTTGTGGAATTAGTCAGGGCCCGGAAGCCGTTTATTTCAGAACTTGGTATTGTGAACATCAAAAATTGGGTATCTTAATTAGTGTTTACATTGATCACAGCATTACTAGACAGTTGGGCACAACTCTGCTACACAGATACTTTAAAAATAAATAAATAGAAGGTTAAAGAAGAGCATTACATGGAATGGGACTGTACACTGTCCTGAAGAAACACCTCCTGCCAGCAGAGCCTCCCCTCCTCTGTCCTCCCTCTTACCCAAAGACATCACCATATGTGTGTGCCTTTTTAATTCACATTTTAACCAGAGATGCTGCACCACTCCTGGGATAGAGAGAGACACGGGAGAGCATGGGTCAGGTCAGACTACAGGGCTGCAGGTGGACCCACTACTACTGTCAGATAATTCAGTACATGAAGAAAGAAGGTAACATGCAGTCACAGTCAGGCAGCTTGCTGTATGTGCCCAGCTTCATCAGCTTGGGGACACGCAGGGAACCACGTGTCAGTCATGGGGTAAAACGTTTCCTCTGGACTTAAGGTCCCATCATAATTTAGCTATGATATAGCTAATTTAGCTTACTTACTGCTGGCTGTGAGATAAGCAAGTTTCTGTGACATGCAGTCACTCGTCTGGTCTGCTGCATCACATCAGTCAGTGCCATAACCCGTGCCTCTGGCCAAGTTGACAGATCAGGAGTAAAGAGCAATATAGTGAATAAAAATCAGGCACACAGAAAGGGGACAATAATGCTAAAAAAGGGCACAGGTCTCAGACACATTAAGATTTTGATATGTGACTTAGAAAGCTAGGAACTTTAGCTGCCAAGACTTAAGAATTCTGTTCTCCTACATGCTGCCCTGCTTTGGATGAAAAAAGAGGGTTCAATTAGAGCTGGAAATGCTGCAGCTGCCAGGTCCTGCACTAATGCCTTCTAGAGTACGGGCAGATGTTTGGCATCAACTTTGCCTTCCCTCCCAGCTGGTGGCACAAAGGTAAGGGTGCGTGTATATGCACATCCCACGTCTACAAAAATCCAGACTCGCTGGCATGACAAAAACGTTCAGAGGACCTCTTCCCTGCCTGTGTCCTTGATAGCTTTGGTCCCAAATGAGGCTTTACAGGGGATGACTCAAGGTACGCTTCAGGACTGAGTACTGCCCCTTTCATATGAGAGCATCTGCTGTGGCTCAAAGAGGACCCAATGGTACTTGCAGGTGACGGCACACCTGGAATGAACTCGCAGGTTATATGTGACAGCACACAATTTCAACAGCATCTCTTTAAAAACTGAAGCAAAGGTATACACCACATCTCCCTGCTTTCATGAGTGGAGTCAGTCTGGAGCAAGCATCTGGCTATTAATGATATTAATTTTTATAAGAGTATAATTTGTCCACAATACATCAATACATACTTGCTATAGTATCGAAGCATGATTATTAGCGTCACATAATTTCAGCATACTTGAAAAATATTCATAAAGCCAAAATAAAACACCACTACACCATTTTCATATTCCCCTCTTGTCCTCACCCTTTGACACACCCAAGCTCAGTTCACGAGGGCATGCAAAGCACAGACGTAGGAAAGGAGGAGTTAATAGAAAGGAAAGAATGGGGTACAAATATAGTGTTTTTAGAATTGTAAAGGGCCACAAAGACGCCAGTTTGCATGCACTGATGTCAATGAGGGCTTCAGGAAGACCAGAAGCAGCAGAGATGCTTACTTGGTTGCTAGCTCTGGGTTCTCCCTTAACCCCCCTATAGTCTGCAGAGTTGCTCACAAATTTAAGAGTGCAGCAC